GGGTGTGTGTGTGTGTGACTCCATCCCAGGAGGCCACCTTGAATTCCAATAGCTTCAGGACCTTGTGGGATCATCCAGAGAGAAGAATTCAGACTTTCTTCCCCCACCCCCAGAGGTCTTACCCACCTCATGACCTCTAAGAGCATCACTTTGACCTTTAGACCTTTTGTGGAGACACGCTCAGGAGACAGAGTGGGATCCCACCGAACCCTTCAGTGGGTGTTAATGTTTGACACCCATTTGTCTGTGGTCAATGAACCATCAAAGCTGAGGTTGTTAAGTTGGAGAGTGTGGATGGATTCATTTGCTGGGGCTGTCACCACATAATATCACAGACTGGGGGGACTTAAACAACAAAAATGTATTTTCTCACCGTTCTGGGAGCTGCAAGTCCAAGGTAACGGTATCAGCAGGGTTGATTTCCTCTGTGGCCTCTCTCCTTGGCTTGTAGATGGCCCCCTCTTTTGCTGCCAAGTCACTTAGTCATCCTCTTGTGTACAGAGCCCCTAGTGCCTTCTTATAAGGTCACTTATCCTGTTGGATTAGGGCACCACTATTACACTCTCAATCATCTCTTTAAAGACCTCCAAATATAGTCACACGGGGAATAGGGCTTCAGTGTGAATTTGGGGGACACAGTTCAGCCTGTAATAGTATCCATTGGTCCTCATAACTAACTCTGTGCTCTATAGTTTATCTGCTTTCATTTTATTTATTTTTATTTTTTTAAAATAAGTTTTTAGTTGTTGATAGGCCTTTATTTTGTTTATTTATATGTGGTGCTGAGAATCAAACCCAGTGCCTCACACATGCCAGGCAAGCACTCCACCACTGAGCTACAATCCCAGCCCGATTGATTCTTTCTTTCTTTTTTTTTTTTTTTTGTGGTGCTGGGGATTGAACCCATGGCCTTGTGCATGCAAGGCAAGCACTCTACCAACTGAACTATATACCCAGCCCTTCATTTATTTTTATGTCACTTTTTTGGGGGGGAGGGCAGGAATTGGGGGTGGGGGCGAGAATTGCTGGGCATTGAACCAGGACCTAAAATGTTAGTCAAATGCTTTACCACTGAGGTGCACCTCCAGTTCTACCCTAAAATCTTTAAAAAATGTGATTTTTTTTTTCATCGTTCCACTGAGTGGGACAACAGCCTTGTCTACAAGGAAGGGGCCCTCCAAGTTACCTCCCAATATCCCCAGAATATCTTAGGCATGTACCAAGAAAACTGCATTTCCTTTTTTCAGATGGGGGTGTGCTTGGATCATATGAATCCATAAGAGAGATGTGTGTAAACTCCTTGGCCACACAAACGCCCTGCTCCTGCCCCTGTGCTTCGAGGGAGGCTTAGTGGGTCCCTGTGGGGGCAGAGGGCAGCTGGGTCTTGGTTAGGGCACAAGCCAGCCGTGGCTCCCCGCTCTCTGATGTGTGGCCAGACCACAACGTTAACATCCACCTCTGGTTCTCTTGCAGGCAACCTTTCTTTATATCTTACAAGTTAAATACTTGCTCAACCAGGTAATGTGGACAGTTCTTTTCCTTTGGAAGGCTAATGGGATGGGGGCCCTGTGCATACTCAGAGACCCCAGAGTGGGAGACATTTTCAAGGTTGTGCATCCAGGACTTTGATGTAGAGAGGGGTGCTAAGTGATATCAAGGAAATCAAACATTATTTTTGGCTCTGGAAAATTCACATCCAGTTCCCACTGGGAAATATTGTCATTGGCAAAATAGGGTTGGACCCTCCGTGTTCTTTGGCTCTTACATTTTAAACTGGCTCCTTGGAAGGAAGAGTGCAGGCCTGTCTACTCTCTGGAGAGAAATGAGGGTCAAATGACCTGTCTGGCTCCAGAGAGCCAGCTTCTCTGCTCGATTCTGTCTGAAAGCCCCCAGTTTCCCCAGTGGGGACATAAAAGCTTCGATTTTAATAACATCTAATGTTAGTCAGGACTTTTCACATGTGGCTAACAGCAGTGGCCACAGGTCCCAGAATGGTCGCCTGATTTGGTGGGTGTGGATTCATGATGCCAGTGTTTGATGTACGACCATGGACTTGCTTCTAGAACAATCCAGGTAAATGGGGGCTGGGATGGGGATCCCCATCACACAGGCAGGCAGGCAGGCAGGCAGGCAGGCTTTCCTAGCATGAGGAACGTGAAGGATGAGGGAAAGGAGAAGGAAAGGAGTAAGTTACCTACCTTCTTCATGATCTCATTGAACATTACCATATTAAAAAAAATAAAAAATTTTTCCAATCTTTAAATGTTAGGATTATATACTCAAACTATCTTTAGACCGAGGGGCTGGAACCCAGGGCCTTGTGCATGCCGGGCAAATGCTCTACCACTGAGTTCCATCCCCAACCACCCAGAAGTCAGCATGCTTGGTGGACTTCACCTCGGGCCCTAATTTGGTCAAGTGAGGACGGTGGGTAGGAAAACACCATTTTTCAGAAATATGTGGGATCTAGAAGTAGGAACCCTGAGCCGAGGAGGGTCAGAGGTGTGAACAGAGTGATGGTGAGCAGGAGCGGTTTCTCAGGAGAAAGCCAGGGAAGGGTACCCCAGAGAGTGGGGCTGCAGTGTTGGGGGATGCTGTGGGTGCTGGCATTAGAAGGGGGCGCTGGCCCAGGGGCTACTGGAGCAGAGCCTCATGTTCTCTGCTGAGGGCTTCAGTTTGTGGGAAACAAGCTCATTAGCAGAGCAGAGATGACGTGGTTATGGAGGTGGTGGGATGATGAAGGTCCATGAGGAAGAAAGCATTGCCTTATGGGAGCAGCAGGACATGTGATCACGGTGAGCTCAATAGAATGAGAGGGCAGGTGGGATGGAGGGACCATCGGAGAGGAGGGAGTGGCACTTTACCCCAAAGTTTCTCTCTCAGGGGCCCTCCCTAGTGAGAAGCCTGGTCAGTAGTTGAGTGTAGAACAAAAAGAAGCAACTGGCTGTGATGGAGAGATTCTGTAATCTGCAAGAGGGCATAGGGGAGGAAGAGAACAGAGGAGCCTAGGCACTCCTTCAATGTGACCTCCCTGGGTCTCCTGTGACTTTCTCTGAGGGAGCTACCTCTTTGAGTATTTGTGTGCACATAACTTCCACATCTGTCTCTGACCTCCAGGTGATATTTCCAGCTGTCTTTGGGAGACCCATGCATGTAGCATATAAGACCTCTTCATCCTGCCCACAAGCCTGCTCCTCCCCTGCCTGGATACCATCTCAATCCGTGGCCTCCACCACTTTCTCTCCTTGTAATCTGTCTTTCATAGGCTCTGTCACACCTGTAACAACTTCTTTTTTTTTTTTTGGTACCAAGGATTGAACTCAGGGGCACTGGACCACATCCCCAGCTCTATTTTGTATTTTATTTAGAGACAGGGTCTCACTGAGTTGCTTAGCATTTTGCTTTTGCTGAGGTTGGCTTTGAACTCGCAATCCTCCTGCCCCAGCCTCCCAAGCTGCTGGTATTACTGGCGTGCGCCACGATGCCCGGCAGTAACTTCTTTTTTCTTCCTCCTACATCTGTCTGCTCAGTCACCTGGTCCCATAGGTGCTACCTGCCCCTCCCCCTCCTCTATGCCACCGCCTAATTCATTTCTTGCCATTTCTTCTCTGTCATTTCTGTAGAATCTAAGTGTTCCTGCTGCCAGTCTTTCTCTGAGTCCATCCGACACCACAATGCTGATTGTATCTTCAGACTCAAATGTAAATCTGATCGTAAGCTCCCCGGCTAAAAACTAACCAGGGGCTTCTTGATAAATAAGTGGTTTATGTAAGTGGTTGTCAAAGAAGACTCTTGTCCTGGCCCCTTCTGCCTGAGCCATCAGGTTTTCCCAATCCCTATTGAGAGAAAAATCAGAGGAGTCATGGAGAGTCTCATCAGATGAAGAAGAAGAGTTAGAATATGAGTTTGAAGAAGGCTGGGGTTCAGGTGAAATTTAAATGAAGCGGTGATTGGTAGGCTTAGAACAGAATAGGGCTCTGAGTGAAGGACCAGCATCAAGTCTAGACTGTCACATGGACCCAGGTCCTCTTTCTCCTGAAACTGTAAAGCTATGGTGGATGTAGGAGGCAGATGGATGTAATCCACTACATCCAGGGACTCATGTGAAGTTCTGCATGTGGGGTAGAAATTAAAGCTACTTTCTTTTTCCTTTTATGGTGCAGGGCATGGAACCCAGGGTCTTGTACATGCTAGGGAGTGCTCTACCCCTGAGCTTCACCCTCAACCCCGAAAGATGCTTTTGTGTTAAAGTCAAAAGGAAGAGTGGGATGTTTTCTTTTTACTGAGATCATTTCAAACAGCAACATTTCTTACAGACTTTGATTTTGAGAAGAAAGTTTCTCAGTGTGTAAGAAAGCAGCAGTCATTCAAAGAAAAAAAAAAGAAGAAAGACATGTTTATGGGAGCAGTGAGACTTTGGGAGCAATAGTGTTCCCTCTTGTCTTTGCAGCCTACGTATTCTGTTCTTCTATCCTTATGTGGCAGGACAGATTTTGACATCCATAAAATGTTATTTTATGTCCGTTTGCTAAGTCTTCATTTGATTTGCTACTTTTCCCTTAGGGACTGAATCCAGGGCTTCAAACATACTAGGCAAGTGCTCCTCCGCTGAGCTACACCCTAGCCCCTAAGTCTGCATTTGAAATACCCAAATAGGCTGGAAATTTTTCCTGCCCCTGTTTCTCAGAGTCAGCTATGATATAGTCTGTTCCACACACCTCCAGAAAGAAACACTAGTTTCACAAGATCTCCTTTGGTCGATTTTTCTAAATTCCCATTTTGGTTGAGAGAGTATTGGACTTTCACACACCGTCCAGTATAGAAGTGCCTTTAAAAAAAACCTGTCAGCTCCTGCATCCTGGAACCTTTGGAGATGAGCCATTTCTCTTCTCTCTGCTTTCTCCACATTTCTTGCCCAGTACGTCTCTCTGTGGTTAGAGCTCTTCACTTCATGCTTTAGAAAGAGAAGCAAGAGGAGGGACTGGGAGAGTGGGGAGGTAGGAGTAGCAGGGATCTAATACTGCACCCCAGTTAACCCCTCTTGCTACACCAGAGGTAGACACCCAGCTGAGCAGGCTAGCTGGAGAGTGTTTGGTAAGTGTGGCCCGTGTTGTCTCCTTGTTCCAGGGAATTGTTCTGCCCCAGATCCTGACGGGAGTTGCCGCTAACCTTGTCAATGCCCTTGCCAACTACCTGTTTCTCCATCAACTGCATCTTGGGGTGATGTGAGTCCAGGGAAGAAGGGTGGGCACTTGCTGTTCCTTGTGTAGCCTCCTTCTGCTACTCTGGAAAACCCTATTGGGGATGGAGGGATGTGCTGTCCTGGGGAAGATAACCTTGGAACCTGCTGAAGAGAGTACAAGAGGGGGGTATTGCTACCTCCTCACTGAGGAAGGCTTGGAGAAGGTGAAGCACAGGTGCCTGCCCTTACAGGGACTTTCTTTTCCAGGGGTTCTGCATTGGCCAATATGATTGCTCAGTTCACCCTGGCTCTCCTCCTCTTTCTCTACATCCTTGGGAGAAAACTGCATCAAGCTACATGGGGAGGTACAACTGCCTTTTGTCTTCTAATGTGAATGAGGATGAGCCTTTGCCCAGCCCGCTGGCCAGATAATGCTGGAAATGTGTGTGTGTGTGTGTGTGTGTACCTGCAGGGTGGTCCCTCGAGTGCCTACAGGACTGGGCCTCCTTCCTGCGCCTGGCGATCCCAAGCATGCTCATGCTGTGCATCGAGTGGTGGGCCTACGAGATTGGGAGCTTCCTGAGTGGTCTGTATAGGGGTGATTTGTGAAAACAGGGGGTAGGGTTCAGGGGATTGGGGAGATGGGTCCAAAAGCAAGGTGTCAGCTTTCTTGATTCACCAGGTATCCTTGGCATGGTGGAGCTGGGAGCTCAGTCCATCGTGTATGAGCTAGCCATCATCGTGTACATGGTAAGTGAGTGCCACCATGTGGACATGCAGGGTGTTCCCCTTGCTTGGTATTCTGCAGGTGGCGTTCTTTGATGGGCACAGCATTTGTGACGTAAGTAATTTGTGAAATGATTGATGAATGTTATCCGGAAGCCCAGGAGGGTCCTTATGGTATGGCTGGATCTTCCCAGTGAGCTGAAGCGGGAGTTAGGCAGAAACTCCAAATGATCTATGTGTCCGCTTTTCATTGCTGTGACCAAAAACCTGACAAGAAGAACTTAGAGGAGGAAAAGTTTATTTTGGGTTCATGGTTGCAGGGGTTCGGTCCACGCACAGCCCATTCCATTGCACTGGGCCCAAGAGCATCATGGTAGAGGGCATGATGAAGGAAAGCTGCCTCATGGGACCAGAAAGAGAAGGGGGAGCCAGGGGACAAGATACAATCCTTAATAAGGGCATGCTCCCAGTGACTCTCCTTCTCTAGCCATGGTCCAGCTGCTTACAGTTACCACCCAGTGTGGTAGTCTTTTCAAGTTCTTAATCCATCAAATGGATTAATCCACTGATTGGGTTACAGCTCCCATAACCTCTAGCATTAACACAGGAGCTTTGGGGAGACACCTCATATCCAAATCATAACAATCTTCTAGCTTTCTGTTTCTATCACAATTCAAGTTGGACAGGTTTGATTGTATTTTCACACATTTAGAATCTTTTCAGTTGTCACAACAGGAGTGCCTTGAGGGGCCAGGTGAGAAGAAACAGGGCATACGGCCATAAAGGCTAAGTTACTTACCACGCCCAACTGCTTGGTTCTGAAGCCTCCTAAATCATAGTGGGTCCTCCTAAGAATGGGAAGCAGGATTTCCATTCGTTTGAGGAACTCAACTCATTTGAGGATTTTCTGTGACTTTGATTTATGGTAAACATCCATTGCCTATTCTGAAGGACTCTCTTCTATAGCAAGTTATCACTTTAGAAATATAAAATTAAAGACAGGGTTTGGGGGTGAAGCTCCATTGGTAGGGTGCTTGCCTAGCACGTGCTAGTTCCTGGGTTCCATCGCCGGCATAACACACACACACACACACACACACACACACACACACACGATGGAAAGGGGGCATTTGTAATGTGGAAAGAGACTAAAACCAGCAAAGATGCTTTGAGTTTTTTGTTGCATTAGGGTTACATTCTCTCCTCCATTTGGCTATGTATATAATGGACACCTCAATGAACATCCTAGGATGAACCTCTCTGTGTACTTGCTCCATTGTTTTTTTAAATTTGTACCAAGTGATACTTAATGTACAATTTCAGATCCTTTGCATGTGTTGCATATTCTTTCCAACAGGCTTGTAAGAATTTACATTTCTACTTCAACAACTGTTCACATTTTGCTCCGTTTGCTGGCTCTGCCTGTCTATTTATCTACCTACCTGCCTGATTATTTATCTGCAAGGTCCATAATTAAATGCCACCAATTGTCCCAAAAATCTCCTCTATAACTGTTTATTTCCTTTGACATTAGGGTGACATGTCTCTTTAGAGTTCTTTAATCTGGAACAAATCGATCAAATCCTTAGATTTTCTCTGTCTTCCTTGACTGTATGTTCTACGTATTTTCTCATAAATAGATTCATACTAACATCTATTTTTGGCAGGAATATTATAGAAGCAATGCCATGTGCTTCTCAGGACCTTGTATCAGGAGGCAAATGATATTGATGGTTCTATCATTGGTGATGTTAATTTGGGTTGCTTAGTTAAGGTGGTGCCTGCCAGGTTTCTCCCTGCCGTTTCCCTATTATCTTCCTTTATGGTGAAGAAATCATTTGTTGCAAGATCTCTGTCCCTTTCGTGAGCTTTAGGTGGGGACTAAGACTTCCATTTCTTTTACATCTCTCAATCCTTCCTCAATCTGTGTATTAGATTTTCTTTAACCCCATCCTTAGTTATCCTGACTATATAGCAACTTTTATAGAGTGATGAATCTTTTTTCTTTATTAATATTTTCCAAGTGGAAAATTTATAGATAATAGTCATGCTAAATTGTATTGAGCAATTACTAACTGTGAGACGCTGTCTTAAGCAGTGAGCAGGTATGGACTCAGTAAAGACCCACAGCATCCCTGTCCGGTAGGTTCCATGACTGAAGCCTTTTTACAGATAAAATAATGAAGGTCCAGAAAGTCGAAGTAACTTGAGATCGCAAAGCAGAGGTCTAGAGAGGTGGAAGTAACTTGCTCGGGGTCACAAGAGATTTGAACGCAGGCTGTCTGACTTCAGAATCCTGATTTGTAACTACAGTGCCAATTCGGTTTCCTTATGCTTCCTTTGGTACCAAGTTTCTGTCTTCTAAACTTAATCCCTCGATGATCTTTCAGAACAGACACTAGCGTGGGCTCTGGATAGCTCATCCCCTTCCCCTTCCCCCATACCCAGAGGAGGTTGGTGATTGTGGGATCCTCCTCTGGCAGAGGTTCAGAAACTCATAGAAAAGTCCAGAGTGTGATGAGCATCATTATCTTGAGGATCCAGGTTCCACATTAGCCCTGGGCATCCCAGCAGGACCACGGCCATTTGCAAATTAGGTTACAGAACTTATAGGACCAAGTTTTGCCTTGGAGATATGAGACACCAATTTGCTTCTCTGTTTCTTGTTCTCATTTTGCAGTTTTGTTGTTGTAGGCTTCCTTTTCATTTTAGATCCCTGCGGGCTTCAGTGTGGCTGCCAACGTCCGGGTAGGAAATGCTTTGGGTGCTGGCAACATTGAGCAAGCAAAGAAGTCCTCTGTGGTTTCTCTGCTGGTCACAGGTGCTTAGACCCCTTGGCCCCGTGCATGAGCCTCATAGTGCCTGTAGCCTCTGTACATGAAATCCAGCTGCCTCTGTGTCCTTCGGGCCTCCTTGTTCACTGTGCTGTTTTTTCCCTCTCACCTTCAGAGCTCTTTGCTATAACATTTTGTGTCCTGCTGTTAAGCTGTAAGGACCTCGTGGGATACATTTTCACTACTGACAGGTGAGTGCCAGGATTTTCTTGAAAGGTAAAATCTGTGTGAAAGAGTTGCTGTCGTGGGGGGGTGGGAGCCTGGGATAGCTGCATCTCAGGATGGGTCTGAGTCTTTTGCAAGATCAGAAACTCTACTGATTAGATGTGAAACCTGTTTATATTCTAGAATGTCAGTTTAATGGATATTGGTAGTGGTATTACACTTTTTATGGTCATGTCTTTTTTAAAAAAATACTTTTTGTTACTATTGAATACATTTTCAGGTGATTATAGCATTCCAAAATTCAAATCAGATGTATTCCAGAGTCTGAAACCTTCGGAGCACCAGCATGATGCCACAAGTGGAAAATTCTACACCTCACCTCACGTGATAGCTAGCAGGCAAAATCTAGGCACTCTAAAATATTGCATAAAATTATCTTCAGGCTGGGGGTGGTAGCACATGCCTATAATCCCAGTGACTCTGGAAGCTGTGGCAGGGGGAACACAAGTTCAAGGCCAGCCTCAGCAAATTTGTAAGGCCCTAAGCAACTTAGTGAGACCCTGTCCCAAAATCAAAAAATATAAAGGGCTGAGAATGTAGCTTAGTAGTTAAGGGTACAAAAAAAAAAAATTACCTTTAGCCTATGTGTATGAGGTATCTAGGAAAAACATCCATGAATTTTGTGTTTAAATTTAAGTCCCGTACTAAGATGCCTCATTATGTATATGCAAATATTTTAAAATCTGAAAAATAATCTGGAACACTTCTGGTGTAATATTTCTGATTAGGGCTACTCAACAATTATCTTGGCTCCAATGACACGAATCATCTTATATCTGCCAAACTGCCAGGTTTATAGAATATGCATAATATTTTTGCCAAATCAGATTGAAGTCAAAATTTCACTCATAAGCTATCTCAGAAATCACAGTATTGGCTGGGTGCAGTAGGAGGTTCATGAGTTCAAAGCCAGCCTCGGAAACGGCAAGGCACTAAGCAACTCAGTGAGACCCTGTCTCTAAATAAAATACAAAATAGGGCTGGGGATAAAAGGAATCACAGTATTAGATTGATTGCTGAAGAATTCTGGAGTGTGATAAATACCTTTCTGCTTTGCAGATTTTTCCTTTCTTCATTGATGAGACTAGCTGGTACATTCTAACTGTACAGAAATACCATGGGAATACTTCTTATTTGGGATCCCTTGTTAGCAATTCCAAATGGCAAATTGGTTTTTGCTCCATGGTTTCAAAAAGCCATTGGAGTGGGCAGAGCAAACTTTCAGTTTACTCTTCAGATATTTATCTTCTATATCCAGATAGTTTTTTTTTCATCCTCTGCCATTGTATTACAGATTTTCCATTTTGGGATGAGTAAGGAAGGCAATCATAAATAGTTCTCATTTTTCTCAAAGGGAATCAGAATTAACTTTACTGGAAATATAGGCTAGACTGATGGTTCCGTTGGGAATGTGGGGGATTGCATTCTGTCCACTTCTGAAAACCACACAGAGCAGGAAAAAGGATGAAAAAAAAAAGACTTAAAAACTGTATCTTTGAGATTAGGAGACACAGGAAACGCAAATATCAAAATACCATCATGTACAACATAATGACATTTTGGTCAATGATGGACTGAATACATGACCCATCAGATTATAAAAGAGCTGAAGATACCTGTTCTATGGCCTCTCGATGCCACAGCTGTCACCACTCACATGTTTGTGGTAATGCTCTGCCACTTGTATAAAAGTATAACATGAACATGTATATATTACATAATAACTTGATCTATATTACATAATACTTGATAACTATAATAACTGACTTTATATTATTGGTTTATGTATTTATCACACTGCACTTTTAACCATTATTTTAGAGTGCACTCCTCCTTATAAAGGTTTCCCACGAAGCAGTATTATGTCAGCAGAGCCCCATGCACCACCTAGGCCCTGCTTCTCTTGATTGCATTCTTTTCTCATATTGTTTTCTTTATCATGGCCCTAGGAGCCATAGGAGTAATAGGCTATACTGCGCGCGCACACACACACACACACACACACACACACACACAATTTAACCAAGGTGTGTAGTAGGGTTCACCATCAGGTTGCAAGATCAGAAACTCTACTGATTAGATGTGAAACCTGTTTATATTCTAGAATGTCAGTTTAATAGGTAAATTTGTTCATTCTGAGATGTTCGCACAATGGCGAACAATAGTGTTTCTCAGAATGTGTTGCTGTCACTAAGGAGCCAAGAAGCAACTGAAATGAGCAAAATCATTGATATAAATGAAGCAGGGCCTGTTTAACCTCAGGAGAGAGAGAAGGAGAAAGTCCCTCTACACAGTAAGAGACGAGTGAATTACTGCAAATCATCATCTTTTTTTAAAAAAAAAAATCCATGAGAGAAATCAGTTTGCACGTTTTTATTTTTGCAAGAGAATTTTTAAGAACTGGAAGAAATAGACAATTCTCTGAGAAAATAATTGATCAAAATTTACTCAAGAAGAGCAGGGGTTGTGGCTCAGTAGTAGAGCACTTGCCTAGCATGTGTGAGGCACTGGGTTTGATTTTCAGCACCACATATAAAATAAAATAAAGGTTCATCAACAACTAGAAAAATATAGACATTAAAAAATTACCCCAAAAAGGGATTGAAAGTCTAAACATGGTGATTTCCTTATGAGAAATAAGAGACAATAATTTAAAATGCCAAAAAAGCATTAGTTCCAGAGGGTCCCAAAGGAGAATTTTATCCAGTCTTTAAAATATAGATAAAATTCCAGTCATGTTTAAACTATTCCTCAGCACAGAAAAATGGAATTTCAGCATTCTGTTTATGAAGCAAACATAAAAGTGGCTCCAGAATCTGACAAAATTTGCACATTAAAAAAAAAGAAAATCAAACCATTCTCACTTATTAATATGGATTTAAAAATTCAAAATAAAGAGCCAGGGTGTGCTCCTTGGATGTGCAAGCTTAGGCTTCACAGCACCCTGGATTCATTCCCCAGCACCCAAAAGAAAAAGAAATAAAAATCCAAAATAAAGTGTTAGTAGGCAAGAATTGAACAACACTGTGAAAATAATGTATTTTTGGTAGAATAGGAAAGGTGAAGATGAGAGGTGGAAACGGCAAGATGCAGATCATGTACAGAATGCTTTTTGTGAAGTGATAGTGTACAGAAATTAAGAATATCCATTTGTATTTGCTCATATTTTCATTAAAACTGGACAAATACACAAAGTAGAAAAAATTGTTACCTGGGAGGACAGGGTAGTAATGGGGTGGATTGGAAGACTGTGGCCATAAGGCTTCTCACTCTCCTTTTCCTGTTGTTTGATTTCTTTAATCATCTGCAAATTTTCCCTATTCAGACATTAAATTTTAGTAAATGAACTATGTTCCTGTCCTTTCTGAGGAAGTGATCATCTTGTTCATTTATTCATTCATTTAACAAATATTTATTGTCATGCAATAATACGGGCTTATTTGTGACCAGACCACTGAAGGGTATGATGGATTTCTTGCCTCCCTAGGTCAGTGATAGAATTTTTCTTGCTTCCTGTCACATGTGGGCTTTTGAATCTGTCTCTCTAGGGGGCACGGTGGCACATGCCTGTCATTCCAGTGACTCAGGAGGATCACAAGTTCGGGACCAGTCTCAGCAATTTAGCTGAGACAATATTTCAAAAATAAATAAATAAATAAAATTAAATTTTAAAAAAAGGATGTAACTCAGTGGTAAAGAGCACTTGAGTTAGATCCCAAGTGACTCCTCTTTCCCTTGGGCGGGGGGGGGGCCGGAATCATCTATTCTAGCATTAGAAATTAAAGCTTCTTTGTAGGATCTAAGGATAATTCTGCAGAATGTATCTATGGCTATAAAACTTTACTAACCTTGGTTCCATAGAAAGCACTTTTTTGTTCATTTTTTGGTGATGCTGGGGATCAAACTCATAGCCTCACACATGCTGGGTAGGTGCTGTACCACTGAACTATACCTTCAGCTCTGATAGAGAGCACCGTAACTCTGTAATGTTTTATCCACTGTGGGATTGAACCTAGAAGTGTTCTGCCCCTGAGACACATCTTCAGCATCCACTTTAAAATTTTTAAATTTTATTTATTTACTTTTAAAATTTATTTTGGTGCTGGGGGACCAAAATTCAGGGGTGGGGGCTTTACTACTGAGTTACATTCCTAGCCCTTTTTACTTTTTATTTTGAGACAAGATCTTGCTAAGTTGCTTAGAGCCTCACTATATTTAGCTGAAGCTGGCCTCGAACTTGTAATCCTCCTACCTGAGAGCCCACCAAGTCACTAGGATTACGGTTGTGCACCAACATACTCAGTTTTTTCTTTCTTTATTTATTTATATATATATTTAACTTTTTAAAATACCTTTATTTTTATGTGGGTTGAGGATCGAACCCAGGGCCTCGCATGTGCTAGACAAGCAGTCTACCGCTGAGCCACAGCCCCAACCACTTTCTTTTCTTATTCTTTTTATTTTTTTGCATTAGGAGTTTGCTAAGTTACCCAGGCTGGCTTTGAACTTAGGATCCTTCTGCCTCAGCCTCCTGAGTAGCTGGGAATACAGGGGTACGCCATAGTGCCTGGTCTAAGGAATCATTTTAGAAGGATGACGGTAAAATGTAAGCTTTAGTTTTTGCAGGCAGTGGAGTACCAAGTCATTGAATTGGTTTATGTGGTCAATTACATTCAATTACATTTGCTGCTTTTATTTAGCAATTATATATATATAATTAGAATTTCCCCCTAAAAATTATAAGATAGAGTTTCCCTCTAAAAATTATAAGATAGAGCTGGGGGTATAGCTTAGTGGTAAAACACTTGCCCAGCATGTGCAAGATCCTGAGTTGGATCTCCAGCATTGGGGGAAAAAAGTCATGTCCTACAACATGCAGTTTGCTTCTTCTTTGGGCCAAGCACCTGTAGCATTGTCCCTGAATAGAAGCTATTGGCTGGAATGCGTGGGCCATGTCTGCAAGACAAAGGCTGAACTGTGCTGCTGAACTGAGACAGGAGCAAAGTCCCACCACCTGGGAACTGCGTAGTTCTCCTTTCCCACATATTTGTGTTCCACTAATCACCATGTGCTTTATTTTCTGAACAGAGACATCGTTGCTCTGGTGGCTCAGGTGGTCCCAATTTATGCTGTGTCCCACCTCTTTGAAGGACTTGCTGTGAGTGTTGTGCCCTTAAGAACTTTCATGATCTATGTGTTTCTTCTGATGATGGTAAATTTCAACTGAGAAGAGGAGTTAGGGTAGGAAGTACTATTGTCATGGTTCCTTCTGCAGGATATTGTCACTTGTTCATGGATTTTTAAGTCTGAGTGGCATGAAATATCTGGTCCATGCTTTGGAGGTGGGGAGTCTTTCAAAAGCACCAGTAGTGTTCACACTGATGAGATGTTACCTGCCCACAGTGTACGAGTGGTGGCATTCTGCGGGGAACTGGAAGTCAGAAGGTGGGAGCCATTGTTAACGCCATTGGGTATTACGTGATTGGTCTCCCCATTGGGATCGCACTGATGTTTGCGGCCAAGCTTGGAGTGATTGGTAAGCTTTATTTCAAAAATAATAATTGGGAATATACAGGTAATCAATAAATGATTCTATCAAAACTTGAAGGTTGTCTTTGGGTGAAGTGTAACTGATTTAAATATGGTTTGTTTTAATCCATCAGATCTGGGCAGGCAAAGCAGTTACCGACCAGGAAATGACCCTCAGAGAACACTGAAATTTGACTCTGGAAATCTGGAGTTTTCCACTTTAGTTCTACCCTTGGTTAGAGAAAGCAAGGGCTGGACACACAGTAGCCTCCAGCTCCAGCCCCAGCCCCAGCCCCAGCCAGGAGCCCAAGGCTGCCTGGTCATGCCCCTCTTGCCCATGCAGGTGATGGTCCCCATTGCGATACCCAGCACAACAAAATGTCCTTTCTCCTCCTCTCCCTGATTTACCTGTCCAGTTTTCACTTCTTCAGAGGAGTGATAGCAGGGACCACCGAAGAAGCATTTGGAAATGTCCCTTTTGTAGATCTGTTCTGTTCTTTTAGTGATAGCCCCTTGCCTCAGCAAGACCCTGACAGTGAAACTGCAATAGGAAGGTCATCCTCCTGTGGCCATCCTGGAGAGATTGGGATGAAGTGGGAAAGTGGCCGGTCAGCAACATGGCACCCGGACCCAGTAGGACCTAGAATAACACCCTTTTGTGCTCACCAAGGAGCATGGCAACTGGCCAGCGCTCTCCTTATCATCCTTATCTTCATCTGTAGCCCCTGCCTCCCACCTGCCATAATCTTTGGTATATCTTATCTGTATCTTGTGGGTATTCCCATAGGGTATGGGAGAGGGAATCAATGTGGACAGTGCAGAAGGAAGGTGGGGCAAGACATCTCTTTATCCCTTGTTTTAGTTAGCTTTTCTTTTGTTACTGTGACCAAAAGACCTGACAAGAACAATTAAAGGAGGAAAAGCTTATTTGGGGCCTTTTCAGTTTCAGAGGTCTCAGTGTATAGACGGCCAGCTCCATTGCTCTGAGCCAGAGGTGAGGTAGAACATCATGATAGAATGGTGTGGTAGAGGGCAGTTCAGGGCATGATATCAGGAAACAGAGACAAAACTCTACTTAACAAGGGCAAAATATAAACCTCAAAGGCACATACCCAGTGATCCACCTCCTCTAGCCACACCCTACTTGCCTATGGTTACCACCCAGTTAATCCATTCAAGTGGATTAATGCATTGATAAGACTAAGGCTTTTGTAACCCAATCAGTTCACCTCTGAAAGTTCTTGTTTTGTCTCACACATGAGCTTTTGGGGGATACCTCCTATCTAAACCATAATATCCTCTTACTGAATTTGGAGGAAAGAACTGAATCCACATGATCTGAAATTACCAGAGCTATTTTTTTTTAAGTAGGGAAATATGTGATTGCCTAGCTTTGGTTTCTAAAATAATAATTGGGAATGCATTGGCAGTGAATACATGATGATATTAAAACCTGAACATTGTCTTTGGTGTGAAGTGGTAACTGACTTAAGCATGGTTTGTTTTAATCTATTAGTATTTGGCAGGCTCAGAGGTGGTGAGAAGTCATCCGATACCCACAGAGAACTTCCAGACCAACATGCTTCATTGTGTTGCACATTTTTCTCAAGTTCAATAGTGTTTTAATTAAAAATACAGAAGATGGTCAAAGAATGGAATTTTCAGAACTCATTGGTGCAGAAAATTATTTAGCTTTCTGGCATTATTCAGGCTTTGACTTCACTGATGAAAATGTTAATGGAAACGAAACAGAGGAACCTATTTTTTTTACTGATATTTTATTTAACACTATCTAAAATATTATCATTGGAACATTCAATAAGTATAAAATACTAAAGATAACATATTCTTTTTTATATTGTATCATTTTATAAAAATTATTTTAATTGAAAAAGCATACATGTCTGTATGAAAATGCTACAAATAAAACCATAATTTTGTACAATTAATATGTACTAATTATAATTTTAAAAAGGAATCACAATTGAATACATATGTGGGGCACCATGTGGTATTTTCATGTGCATACAATGTGGAATGATTAGATCAAGGTAATTAACATACCTGTCATCTTGCTTATTTTTCATGATGAGACATCTGAAATTCACTCATATGCAGTATGGTATGATGGACTATAGTCACCCTGCTGTGCAGTAGATTTCAAAACTCATTCTTTTTGTCTATCTACAACATTGTGTCCTTTTGTGTTTCTTGGGATCAAATCCAGGGCTTCATGCATACTAGGCAAACACTTTACCACAGAGCCACACACTTTGGCCCAAGAAACCTTGTACCCTTTGACCAACAATTCGCCATACTCTCCCACCCCATCCCCCCGGGTCACCCCAGCCTCTTGTAACCGTCATTCTACTCTCTACTTCTTTCAGTTCAACTTTTCTGGAAGAAGAATTTACTTTAAAATATAGATCCCTCTATATCCTAAGGGCTGTACTTGTCCCACTTCATTTATTTAGTAAAAACATACCTACTGTGTGCAAAGTAGAGGGATTTGAGAATTTCTGAAGGAAATGTTGGGGGCTCTGGGACACTGTGAAAGGACTGTAGTCAATTCTTCCCACTACCATTTAGATGGAAGTATAGCATGAATTGGTTTGGAATGTCATATTGCTCCCAGTAGGGTGTGCAGTGTAACTGTACAAAATGCCCAGATGAATCTCAAAATGCTACAGATTCTTTTGAGCAACCTATCACATTGTAACAGCCTCAGAAATTCCCTTAGAGGCCTTTCTAATATGCAAATTCCTAATTCCTGCCCAGGATATTCTAATAATTATCCTGTTTGGCTGGGTGCAGTGGTGCACACCTGTAATCTCAGGGGTGAGGGAGGCTGAGGTAGGAGGAGTTCAAAGCCAGCCTCAGCACTTAGCAAGATCCTATCTCATAAAAAAAAAAAAAAAGGCTGGGGATGTGGCTCAGTGGTTAAGTGGGTTCAATCCCTGGCACCCTCCCCCCAAAAAAACCAAAACAAAACCAAAATCCTGTGTGGGGTTCCTAGTTGAGTCAAACAGAAATCTTTTAATATGTATTGTGAAATTACTAGAAATCAAGTTCATAATTTTCAAATTATGACTGGAGCTAGCTAGTTATTTTCTTTTGAAGATAAGGTGAACTTGTAATTTCTGTGTCCTAGGAACTCTGGATTTGGAAGAGGAAGGAGGGGCTTGCTTTTACTAATCCATTATAGGACTAGCAGGTGGTCACTAAGTTCACTATTGTGAATGAAAATAAATGTGATGGGAAGGTGTTTGGTGAAGAGGAGTAGAGGAGCTGTAAACCTTGCATGGAGTCTCCCCTCCAGAACCTGGGAACCCAGACTAGCCCCCTTAATCATTACATGGATATGAACAGCCGTGGAAATAAACCAAGAACAAGCAAAAGAGAAAAGCAAAGGCATTGTGTTCTGAGCCTGCCACCCAGGGAAGTCAGCCACTGGTAGTGGGAGAGCTTTATAGTGGGTAAGAAGGATGGCTCAGGTGGCCCTGATTGGAGGCTGTTGGCCTGGGGGAGCTAGAGGTGGCTGACTAGACGTGGGGCCACTACATGATTGGCTCGGGGTATATATTTGTCTGAAGGTGGAAGTGGGGACCCAAATTAGGGAAGCTGTCAGTTATGAGCCAAGCCTGGCCATTTGGCATTGATTGTTGTAGAAGTTATGGTTTGGCTTTCTGATTTGTCACTAGAGTTGCCAAAATAGCTTCCAGCAAGTCTGGTTTCTAGCAGGCTGCCTTCCTGGGTTGCTTATTGTGGATAAAAGGTCGATTTCCTGGGCTGGTTGCTGCATGTGGGTCAGAGTTCTATTTTTACGTTCAGTCTGGCAATTGTCTGTCTGTACATTCATCCTCCCATGGACTACCTTAGAGCTTTTGATTCTATCATTAGTTCATTACTGATAAAGCCTCTCATTATTTCCATCTCCTCAATGCCTTATGTAGGGTTTTACATTTATTTATTCATTCATTTATTTATTTGATACCAGAGATTGAACCCAGGAGTGTTCTACCTCTGAGAATACGACCCATTCCTTTTTTACAAAAATGTTTATTTTGAGATTGTGTATTGCTAAGTTGCTCAGTCTGGTCTCAAACTGCCTCAGCCTCCTGCCTCAACCTCCTGAGAAGCTAGAATTACAGATGTGCGCTACTGTGCCTGGCCTTGTGTGGGTTCATTAGGTAAAATCTGTATAATACTTTGAGATCTAACAGGCTTTCTCTATCATTCATTTGCACTCAACATCTCCTCTTTGTTTCTAATCATCTCTGGGTGCATAACCCTCCCCTGCAAGCTTCCAGAAAAATCTGTAGAGGTCAAGTAGGAAATTCTGGGGTAGAGAATATCACTACTTTTTAATGAGTGGTAAATTTTGCTATGAAAACATTGGTATTAAAATGTTTTAATACCAATGTAAAATGGGATCCAGGTGTTACAAGCACCTTTTTGAATACAAACATTGATTTCTGAAATGGTTTCTCAGCTGGGGATGTAACTCAGTGGTAGAACATGTGTTTAGCATGCACAGGGCTCTGAACTCAATCCCCAGCATGCCCCCCCCCCCCATAAAAAGCTTTCTTTCCCTTTCAGAAGCCTAAATACTGAGGTATAGTCAGGGATCCCCCATGGAAAGTAGCATCCCTTAAGGTTAAGTGGTAAAAACTTTGAGAGGGGAGGGAATGAGATCATCAGAGCCCCACAGGAACAAATGAATTCCAGGGACTAACTTATGGCTTGTTAGCTATTAAGAGCACAGTATATTCCTTTCCCTCTTCACTCATTCTCAAACCATCTTATAGATCTCCAAAAACGAGATGCATCACTAAAGTCAGGATACCTTTGCCATGACTCTCCAAGAACAAACAACAAAGAGGACAAAACTCTTGAGGCATCATTGAAATAGCACATTCCAAGGACCCTGAACTTGTTACTTGCATGATTTATGTTTTTCTCCATCTGCATGTGTTTTCTCCACAGTTCCAGCAATTCATCCTTATCACAAGGCGGAGGTGATTATATAGGGAAAGATGTAACATTTGCTCCAGACTGAAGGGCCCCTCCCTCAAGGTTGAAGGACCCCCCCACACACACACACACAAAAAAATACCTTAGAAAATATGCCCAAAGCCAATTAAAATTCCTAGACTCTAGCCTACCCTTGCCATTCTTGCACAGGAATAAAAACTTAGCTCCCTTTGTTTGAAGAGTTAGCTCGACAGTCTCTTGTTTAGTGCTGTGTCTCCCTTCTGCTGGAACAAGAAATCCCAATGGTCTTGTTCCTGTTGCCGTTGATCCTTCCTCGGATTCGTCTGGTGGAGCACAAGAACCACCAGGACTAATACTATGAACAAATAATTCTTAGGTTTTTCTTACATTTTTTTCTTTTTAATACATCTCCAGGTGACCAACATGCAAACTAACTAATATCCAAAATCAAAGGCCTCTAGAAGCAGCCAAATTAAAAATGAAGTATTTTAATTCACTAATTGACCATGATGATTTCTGCTTTTTTTTTTTAATGTTCATCTATTTTTGAGGAACATAGGGCAGAAGGAGTTCTGTCCTAGGAAATTTAATTTTCTTGTCACTGGCACTATTATTGATATCCAATCATTATAATAAAAATGGCCAGCGATAACCTCTGACTTTGCTGTGACAATCACAGAAAGTGGTCTCAGGGGGTGCTGGCTTTCTGGAAACCCAAGAAGAGAGCAGGTAGAGTCTTAAGGTCCACTATGGACCCCATCTCAGCCATGGAAGCAGATTCCCAGCTTGGTCTGCAGAAGTAACAGGAGATACATACATCCTCTCAGCTGTGGCCATTTTCCACTGAGCTAACCACCTCTGTTAAATATTTCCACATCCAGGTCTGTGGGCAGGGATCATCATCTGTACTGTCGCTCAAGCTGTGTGCTTTATAGTCTTTATTGCTCGGCTCAACTGGAAACAAGCCTGTCAACAGGTAACTATGCTCATGGATGTCCCAGCAAAAGTCCCTTCCCTAGGGGCTGGGGATGTGGCTCAAGTGGTAACGTGCTCGCCTAGCATGCAGTGAGGCACTGGGTTCGATTCTCAGCAAATAAAAAAAAAATTAAAGATATTATGTCCATCTAAAAAACTAAAAAATTTTAAAAAAAGTTTCTTCCCTAGAAAACAAGCAGGATCTGATGGGGTGCTCACTCTTTTGCTTTGGGAGGTTCTTTTCTCTTTGATGCTATTTTTAGGTTTTAACTGGATTTTCAGATGCGAAGGACTCCATGACCCTGGCTTTATCTGTTTTCTGGTTGTGGAGTCAAAGAATAGAAACATACAAGCCTCCTTTTATTTATTTATTTATTTTTATATCTCCTTTAGCATCTCACCTTTGGCCAATTTCAGGATAGAATTGGAAACTTGAGAGGAAGCATCAAAGTTCATCCTAACCCTGTTTATTGTTTTCGCAAAATATTTTGTTAAGATCCTGTGTGCCTCCTTCTCTCCACCTTTCCAGGGTCAATGTGAGGTCTGGAAAAAGGAGATGAAGTAAGAAGGGCAGGTTCTAAGTGATCTTGGTCCTTCATCTCACCCTGCACCGTATCCATCCAGCCTTGCCCCTCCCACTGACTCCATTTCAGTTCTTATGAAAGCGGATTCTATAGCCATGACCTAGAGAAGATTCAACTTTACATGTCCATTGAGGAACAGGGCTTGGCTTTTCCTAAACTGGGTATCAAACCTACACTATCTAACATCTAGTGAGCTCTGAATTTCATTTTTCTAGGCTCAAGTACATGCCAATTTGAAGGTCAATGTGGCCCCAGATGAGAATTCTGCTGTCCCTCAAGATCCAGTTTACCCAGGTATGATATAATGCTGTCAGCTCTTAGGCCTGTCTAGGTAGGACTGGAGGGGTCATTTGCTCAATTTACTGCTGTGTATTGATATAGGGTACTGATGTTTCAGAAATAAATGACAGAGTCAGTTAATGCCCACTTTGGGGTAAATTAAAGTTTGTTGGCTTCAATTCCATACATTAACATACAGCTATAGTGATTAAAGGGCCCTTAGTTCCTTTGCTAATTTGTGATATTTCTGCAACCATTCTACAGGCATTTTTTTCTCTTTTAAAATATGTTTTCAGTTGACATAATAATTGTACATATTTGTGAGTCACAGCGTGACATCTCAATACATGTGTACAAATGTGTAATGATCAGTTTGGGGTAATTGGCTTATCCATCACTTCAAACATTTATCATTTCTTTGTGTTTGAGCTACAGATATTTCTAATACTTGGAGATCCTCTGCATGGGTCACATCTTGAAAACTGACATTTGTGTTTATTTTAGTGAGGTTTCTAGTGTCTATTAGAGACACCTGCTTTAAGTAAGTTATTGTTTAGACAATTGCTTCTGATGAACATTCTACAAATGTATTTTTTTTTCCTGTCATTTTTTGTAATTCTTTTTTTTCTCTCTCTCTTTCTTGGTTTATTATATTCTGTTAACCATTTCTTTAATTCTTTTTTAAAATTTGTTTTAATTAGTTACACATGACAGTACAATGATCTTGACATAGCATACATTTGAATCAGATGGGATATAATTTCTCATTTTTCTGAATGTATTTGCAGAATTACATTGGTCATGCAGTCACGTATATACCCACAGCAATAATAATTTCTATTTTATTCTGCTGTCCATCTTTGTAATTCTTCTACATTCCCAGTTTCTTAGGCAGGTAGTCATTTTAGTCCTTTGTTACTGTAAAGGAGGTAACAATGGTTTCCCTCTGCACACCTAGGTTCTACAGCTAGTCCAAGAATGGAATTGACATAGGGCAGATTAACAGGAGAAAAAAATATATTTAATTACATGC